AACAGTGTACAACAGTGGCAATGATTTACCTAGGAAACAAGTTAGAATGTGTGAACAGTGCAGGGGTCACCAACCATAGTCTAGCAGAGTTTAGCTCCAACTTGCCGCAACACAAGCCTGGAAGTTTCAAGTATACATAAGAAAAAACCTTGACTATCTTGTTCAGGTGTGGTTGATTAGGTTTGGAACTATACTGTAGCCATCTACATTCTGCAATGGTTTGTGGAGTGGTCTGATGAAACAGTTTTTATCTTTAGAAATATCCACTGATGTCCTTGTCCGGCTTCAATAGAATGTCAGAATCAGAATGAGTGTGGATGAATGTTGGTGAAAATTCCTGATGATGTAAATTGTGCAACACAGGCTCATTGGGGATTAGGGAAAACCAAAAATATGTGACCTGCAGGAACACTCCAGACTAGAATGATGTCACCGTCAACTATTGTTTCTTTTCTTGTTACCACTCACCACTTACCTTTGTATGGATGGCTTTTTTTACTAGAAAGATCAGTTAGCTTGGTAGCTCGCCTAGTACGGTGTTGGATTTGGGATGGACTGGGGTTTGAGTGAAGCACGGTTCTAGAAACTAGGTAAAACAAAACCATAAAAAAATTAAAAAATGAAGCAATGAGAAATTGTGGTAAAAGCACATGGCCGCAATGTGCTTTTCTTTACTAGCTTGGACTTGAAACACTATCGCTTGGTTAGGGTAGGCGAGGGGTTAGCTGTCTGCAATTTTTTCACAGATTTGTGCAAGAATGGCATGTATGATGAGCAAATGTAGCGCAGTACTGTATTTGAGATTTGCAGAAATGTACACAGTGGCCTCTTGTGGATTTTCAAGAAATGGGACGTATGAGAAAACTTGGCCCAATAACGTATTTGAGATTTGCAGAAATGTTCACAGTGACCTCTAGTGTATTTGGGAAAACAAAAACTGCAAACAGACATAGACCCATGCACATATTTCATGGCTCCAAAAAGTAGCCCTCATCTCCAATGAGCCTGAGTTTAAATTGTGTTATGTGGACAGTGGCAGATCATGCTTGGCCACTAGGAGCATCATGAATAGGGGGAGAAAGGAGACTGAGAATATATGTACAAGAGTATAGTCTAGAGGAGACTCAGAGAGTCATCCTACCCCCATTCTGCCAAGAGAGACCAAGGCCCAATCCCAGTTCTATCCCTTACTCCAACCCCTTGGTTTGATTGTTCACGTGATGGTGTAAGGGTGTCTCAATTCTCTTTAGCTTGAAGGCCTAGGGCTAAAGGTGAGGGGTTGATAGCTAAATAATTTTTCCAGAATACACTATCTACAATGGCAGCATGGCTGCACACCAAAGTCAGGAGATGAACAAATTAATATTTTTTGTTATTATTATGAATTTTACAACAAACAAGCATATGTTTTAATACATTCATAACGGCGTTTGTGTTTTACCATCATGCTTTTTTTAAAAATGCCAAAAACACGCTACATTTTGCTATCTATAATCCATAATAATAACTCCTGTCTAGTAGTCCCACAACATACTTTCACATCTGACATTCGATGACACTCGAATACCCTGTCAGAAAGTCTAGTGGCTGAAAATGACCTTTTTACAGTGTCTGGTATCATGTTAAAGTTGTTTGCGGTGTAAACGCACAGTACAGATACAATCTTATTGCTACATTATATTGTTATTATATTGTTAACATGATATTGTTGCCTTCAGTGATTTCCTGAAGATAAATACTAAAAAAATAACGCAACTGGAATAACTACAGCAGCCGTGATCGTAATCTCATATGAAGTAAGAAATTGCAATGACATATGATGACGTGTAGTGGTGTCCCATTTCATCATCATCATCATCGTTTTCGTCCATTTCGGCGGGGGCAGCAGTCTTAGGAGGGAACCCCAGATTTCTCTTTCCCCAGACACTTCTTCCAGCTCCTCCGGGGGGATCCCGAGGCATTCCCAGGCCAGCCGAGAGACATAGTCCCTCCAGCGTGTCCTGGGTCTTCCCCGAGGCATTCCTGGAGGCATCCGAAACAGATGCCCGAGAAACCCCAGCTGACTTCTCTCGATGTGGGGGAGCAGCGGCTCTACTCCGAGCTTCTCCCGGGTGACAGAGCTCCTCACCCTGTCTATATGGGTGTGCCCTGCCACCCTACTAAGGAAACTCATTTCAGCCGCTTGTATCAGAGATCTTATCCTTTCGGTCATGACCCATAGCTCATGACCATAGGTGAGAGTAGGAATGTAGATTGACCAGTAAATCGAGAGCTTTGCCTTTCGGCTCAGCTCCTTCTTCACCACAACGGACCGATACATCGACCTCATTAATGCTACCGCTGCACCGCGTCCCATTTCTTAAGGGTAAATTTTGAACCCCTTCCCTTTCACACTCTGTTTTAAGGAGTTAGGGGTACAAAAATCGAATTGGGATTGGGCCAAGTCTTAAGGTTTCAAGTCTTGATGTGCGAGATGGAGCAGGTGGTGGCAAATGTAGTA